CATCACATGCAATTTTCTAATCTAAATAAACTGATCAGTGCTCTAAAAAAAGGTGCATTTGTTAATTTTTAAAGATAAAATAGAATTAAAATGAATAAATGATTGATTGATTGATTGATTGATTGATTGATTTTAAAATGAATAAATGATTGATTGATTGATTGATTGATTGATTGATTGATTGATTTGAATTTAATTGCAGTATATGAGCCTTGAAAATTACTTTTGTTTTGTGAAGCCAAATGTAGTCAGGATGTGAAAATAAATCATATTTCTACATGTTCACATTTTTACAATATATTTACTTTCGTCTGAATGTCACTCATCTTATTGTGCATGATTCATACATTATTTCCCACAGAATATTGTTTTTAAGGCAAAATATGTCACAATAAAGAAGTTTAATGCATTTGAAAGAGTTTCATGTTGTTTTTAAACCATAAATCTGAGCACACCACCTGCCCCAGTGAACCGATAGCTAGAAATGTTTTATAAGTGGTCGGGGTCGGTACGGTTGAAGTATTTAGACTCTGTTTCAGACCACCGATTTACACCAACAGGCCCGTGAGCTGTTTATTTTTCAGATGGAAGAATGCACAGGGTGTGGCTTTACAAAGCAAACTTTAATAAGATGCCTGTTGAAAGACAACTGAAGGTGAACACTGAAGCAAGCAATGGAGATTCGGTCTGGTTGAAGGGCCCGTCATGCCACCCATACAGAGACTGGGGTCAACATCCTTTGCTCTTCTTAACCTGCTTAGTCATTTTGACTGCTGTCAGAACACAAGTGATCAATATCATCAGTAATATAAAAGATGGCTTAACATTAAATGATTTTCAATTAGTGGGTAGTGGCCCAAAAATGCAAGACAGAAGGGGAAAACATGCTGTATGCCAATAATTATATTCGTATTAAATATTAATAATATTCATAAATAAATAAAAGGTTTATTAATCCTGTATATCCTGACATTTGAAATAATTGTCAGAATCTATTTTTAATCACAACCTTTTTTTTTTCTTTCTTTTTTTTTATGAAACATGTTAAGTTTGCATTTGTGATTTTGTTGAATATCATAGGTACAGTATGTGATACATCTGGAGCTCATATTTAAGGAAAAAAACACGCAAAAATATGTAATTTGATGCAGTTGCTGATATTTATATGGCCAAAAAGAAAGATGAAATTCTGATAGCTTGTAATATAATCAATGAGATCTATATAACAGTATAACAGACGACAGATGAAAAAAGCCTATAAATATCAGTTGTATTAGTTGTTCCTCAAAATCCGGATGTGTCATATTTGATACTTTCATTTAAACATTATTTTTCTAAAAGAAAACAAATGCACAGATAATCATGTAAACCTAAGGTGCTTTGGTCCAGAAAGGGAAATATTTTTCATCTTGAAATATTTCTAAGAATATAAAAGTTACTCTTATGTTTACTTCATAAAAAATAATTCAGCAAAAAGTGTCGCCACTTGATGTCCAATGTAAAATAGGTCCTGAAGCAAAACCAGCACTGCTTTATAGAATGGTTCTGGAGAATGGTTCATGTCCCATGTCTTTTGCACTGCCGTGAGCATGCAGCGTATCTAATTGCACCACTTCCTAGTGAGATACTACACATATGCACATGCCCTAGCCGGATATTTTAAGGCAGACCTTTTGGAGGGATGAAAGTAAATACAGTGCTGAGTCCATCAGATCCCCCTGCCACACCCAAAACCCTCTCTGATTTCTGAGCGCTTCCAAAAACCCATCCAGATTAAGCCTTTCTGACACCTTTTGTATGTTAATACCACGTACAGTCATTAACAAGTCAGAGATCAATTATTCACTGATGTTTAATATTGTAATCTCTAGCAGGCGAAATAGGAAATGCTGTATCTTACTGTTGCTTCAAATGAGATGAGCCCACTGATATCCAATACTTTCAGCTGTGATTTGATGTGCCTGATAAAACTGACTATGAGTAAATGCTGCACAATATCCTGGCCGCATTGGCCGTCGACTTAAGACTTTGAGTATGTGAAGGCAGGTCAGAGTTCACCAAACTTGAACTTTCATTTGCAACAGAATGCAAAGCGTCTACGAAAGAGCTTGCGTTTACAGTCTCCCATGTTTGCATGCATATATGAATGAATGTCAATGAAGCATAAAGTCTAGTCGCACTTTATGATTGAAAAGGTAGACTAACATGCAGTGTGCTGCAAAGGGAATGTCTATTAATTTCCAATTTTGCTATTGGATATCTTGTGCCTTAAAGAAAAAATTCTAAATTTCACAGATATTTTTATCCAAAATCAATTATAGCGCATTGTGAGTATTTTTTTTTTACTAGTAATGTCAAAGGAATAGTTCACTCAAAAATGAAAATTTGCTGAACATATACTCATTCTCAGGTTATCCAAGATGTAGATGAGTTTGTTTCTTCATCAGAACAATGCATCCTCTGCAGTGAATGGGTGCCATCAGAACGAGAGTGCAAACAGCTGATTATAACATCACAATAATCCACAAGTAATCCACACAACTCGACTTGCTTATAGCTGAAATATGAGTCCTCTATCCATAATATTGTTTAATATTGTATCCACAATATTGCTAAATGCAAAGGATCCATTGGTGAGCAAGTGATGTAATGCTAAATTTCTCCAAAGATGATGAATGAATAAACTCATTTACATCTTGAATGGCCAGAGGGTGAATAAATTTTCAGCACATTTCCGATTCCTTTGATTAATGAGTTCCATGGGAATCGAACCCTCAATTCTGATATATCGGTAGCATTCTCTGCTGTTTGAACTACAGGAACAGATTTGATGCTATGAAGCATCATTTAGATACCAGCCAGCAAATCAGATTTGAGGCCAGATCAAGAAATTGTTTGTGATTTTTCTGTGCAACACACATCAGATTTTCAGCAGGCGGTCCATGAGCATGACTTTTGAGGCTGAGACTTGGCAAAACCTGGAATGCATTTATATTTATGCATTTGGCAGATGCTTTTATCCAAAGCGATTTACATGCATTTAAGGAACATGTTTTATCAATTCATGCATTCCCTGAGACCTGAACCCATGATCTTGGCATTCCTAATGCAATGCTGTACTGTTTGAGCTACAGGATAGGATCCACAACAAAATGGACACAGATAATCCTAGTCCATTTACACAAAGTATGTGTTAAAAAACGAATCAATTAATCAACAAATGAAATGGGTATTAAACAAGACGAAGAGACCCTTGGCTTCAATCAATCACTACCAAACACACACCACACCTACAGCTCAGATGTTTCCTGAATAGACTTGTGCATGTTGCATGGTGACTTTCAAAAAAGGGTGACAATAAATCCTTAGGGCAATGAATGTAGGAAAGGGAAGAAATGTGTCCTTGACCTTGTCCAACCTTTCCAAGGACTAAATAGAGTGAAGGAGAACACGCAAGCCTGAAAAATGAGACAGGAAGATGTGACTGAGTTAAAGATCTCTCGTGCTTTCATTTGAGAGTTACAGCTTGTTGTCAAACAGTGCCTGGTGAAAATGGGTGATAACAGACGGGGCATCGTTTAGCATGCAAGGACAACCATCTCAGTCGACAGTTAATTAGGCAGAACTCAGACCACCATAGAAATGAATAGAGGAAGAAGAAATAAAAGAAGCTATGTGGTTAAGGAGAAAGACATGACAGGGACCTCCTTCAACACTTAGCTCATTTCTACAGTTTTGATAAACTTCAGAAAGTGAAAAAAAAAACATCACAATTGTGTTTAGCATGATCAATACTTGTATTTTAAAAAGGTAACCTTCCTCTTTATTATAAAATGCAACCCTTCAGGGGTGTGTTCAATATATATATTGTTATATCCCAGTCTGTTGTGGAGACAGAAATACTTCTCCCTCTGATCCTGCCTGCCAGGACCGCTCAACACGCTTCAGGTTTCAGGTGGCAACTATTGCTTCTAAAATGAAAGGGTCTCACCTTACAGTTCGGCCTCTGTTGGTCCTTCTGCGGCACTACCCACACAAACAAACAGAAATACACACTCACACAGACGCATATTTGGGGCCCCTTCACACACACACACACACTCACGCTCAGAACCTATAAACAGATGCTTATGACCTCCCTCTTGTCCTGCGACACCGATATCTCCCCTCAGATGTGAAACCACATACATTTATGGAAACACTGGATTTTATAAGCACCATGACTTGATGTAAAGAGTGATTGTGAAAAAGAAAATGACAGAAGGCAGTTCCACAAAGTTTCTCAATGCACCCGAACTCAAGTTACCACCAACCCCATGTTTAACAACCACATTTTGTGAGAGAGGAGCCCAAAAAAACTCTGCAGCCACCAATTCATCAATATGCAACAGCTCCACATTTTCTCCTTCCCTCTGTATTTAAAATCACAATTGGAAATGCACAGAGCAGTATGAAGTGATCTATAATCATGATGATTTCTAATTGCCTTAGGAACACTGCATGTAACAAACACTTATTTGAAGTTTTAGGGCTGGTTTGACGTCCCGACTCCAGTCAGCCAACATTATCACTAAATAAACTCCAAAAGCATGATAGGCTGATTACAAGACTTCTAAACAGACATTAACTATTTAAGGTATTTTTAAAAAGAATAATACGAAAGACATGAAACTAGAATAGGAAATCAATTGACGTCATTATCCAAAAATATTTGGTTGCAAAATGCTTTAATTGACCAATCAGTATCTAATATCTGTAGTTAGTTACTAATCTGATCTACAAATTTCAGAGTTACCAAAACCTGCACTTTCAGTCCTCCAATCGTTCTGTCTACAACTGATTTACCCTCCTCTCATCCACATCACAGCTTTGCAATCACTGTTCAAGAACAAGGCATTAATGAATTTATCACATTTTCTATCAGGTTTCATCCCGGAGTTCCCATGTTTCGGAACTGAACAGTCCGTTATAAGACTGTCAGAGCCGATTCATGGACGTACCTGGAGGACAGTTGCAGTCTTGTGTCACGTCTCTCACCACACGCAACTTCGGCATCGCTTCATTCAGCCTCTGAAATGTGAAATACAACAGAGAGGAAAGTAATTATTCAAATTTGGGGGAGATCAAATTTTAAGAATCAGTCATTAATAAATCCACATTGATTGAGCAGTAATCTGAATATTGAAGAGACACCATAAGTGTCAGTGTTGCTCATGCTCCTACTTGTTTATAGAGGAAAAATAATATGTGAATTTGCTATTACTCCTTAGGTACAAAGGTTTCAAAAACACTGGCAAACAACATAGTATGATTATTTATATAGTACTGGATTACATAGTAGCCTACCGATTATATAGAATTCTGCTGCATTCTTTTATTCTGATGTTTCACATGTTTGTAATTTATGGTGATTTGACATTTTAATATATTACAACTTCCTAATAAACTACATGTATATATTAAGTTATATTATATATATTAATATATATATATTAATATATATATATATATATATATATATAAAGTAAGTTAAGTTATTTAAAAGTGAATGCACTATGTTTTCCCAGTCATGATTATGTTAAGAATTACAGAATGTATTACAGAATATATATATATATATATATATATTATGTTAAGAATTACAGAATGTATTACAGCATATATAGGGGAGCGCGGGGCACAAAGTAACGCGGGGTAAGTTGTAACACACGTGGTTTAAATATTTCCACACATGCTAGCATAACCAAATTTACAGATCCAATCTGTTATTTATCAGTTTAGATTATTTTTTAATGCTTCGCTAACTATCAGAAGACAGTAACCAGTTTTAAATTCCAGTTGCGCGGATGGGGCACGTTGTAACACTGCGTTACAATGTGCTATTCTATGACATTAGCGATGTAATTCACACTATTTACTTTAATAAATGTTAATGATAAAAGACGAGAAACAGGTGAATAAAGACTGACAGTCCATGTTTAATGTTAAGAAATTATTATTTCAAGACATGTAAAGCATATTTTTTTCAGTCGATCAGATAGCATTTTAAGCTGTTATATGGTCATGTTACAACGTGCCCCTCAGATGTTACAATATAGTACCCCACCTACGGGGCATGTTGTCACTTTTCACTTCCAATTTTTGAGGGTAAATAAAGAAAAGCGTATACACTGTAATTATGAAACAAAGCGACATATTTGTACTAGACAAGTGTGAAATTACTGTGGATAAATAAATATACTCTGAACCCCATGTGGATTTACACAATTTGAGAAAGTCAAAAAGTGTTACTTTGTGCCTCGCTCTCATATATATATATATATTCTGTAATACATTCTGTAATTCTTAACATAATCATGATTGGGAAAACATATATAGTGCACTCACTTTAGTTTTTTAAATGAATACACTATAACGAGAACAATCTTTACTACAAGAATTTACCAGTCAAATCCAAATAAATCAACAGAATTATGTTTATTTAAAAATCCCTTATCACATAAAAGCACCTGTTGCTGCACATGCAGAATTATATTTAAATCTATAATCCTTTTATATAGATAGATAGATAGATAGATAGATAGATATTTATGCTTTCAAATGCACTGGCAACTGAAGCGCTGGCTATGCGTTGATGGAATTAATTATAACTAGCTGTGAATTAATCAGTCTAAATTAAATTGAATAAGATCAGCATAATACAGAAACACGTGAAACAGTAGAACGAAACATTTGGATGGTGTTGCAGCTTTCCTTTATGAAGAATTAAATTGCTTGCCTCTTGTAAGAGTGCTTCAATGGACTCCCGCAGTTCCAGTGGAACAGAGACGTCCTTGGATGCTTCTTGACAGATGTCCGTCATCTTCATCTCCAGCTCGCGCAGCCTGCTCTCCAGCCGATGCGTTTTGAAAGTCATGAGAAAACACACCGCTACTGAACTCAGCGAGAACAGTAAACACGCTATGGTTGGAAAAGACACTAAATAACGCTGATAACGCGGTTTCGCAGCATTCGGTTTGCTTTCTGTATTTCCGTCCGCAGATTGATCCATGCTGGACAATGTCTCCAGTTAGTTTCCGATAGTTAGATCACTTTTAGTATTGATCAGTTCTTGATCGATGAGATGTGGCTGTCAGACTGAGCAGAGCGGAGCAGCTCACGGCGCTTTGAAAAGCACGAGTGTCTCAAAACCTAGTAAGCGGACTACCTAGTGAACAGCGGGTTTGGCCATCGAAGACGCGTGTCGATTCATAGATTCTCTCAAACGGCCAGAAATGTTGCTCACGTATAAGAATGCTGTCTAGGTAGGGCGCTCATTAAATATTAGTCACATCCCTTTGACATTCATCGCAGTATGTGTGCGTGAAACGACTGGCGGAGAGCGTCCAGAAGCAGATGTTCTCCACACGTAGGATCAGTGTGAGAATTAGCCTATAGGCTACAATACTTCGTGGAGCGACATTTTAAAATTAATTTCTTTAGGAAATGTTACGGATGCATTCTGTTCATCTAGCACACGTAGTAGTTATCCAAACTGTCAAGCGTCATCTTTTCGGCGACATATAATCGACAAATGATGCCAGTATTTATGCATTTGTCTGTGTTTCATCCGATTAAGATAACTTAAAAGTGATTAATGCAAAGTAGTGTGAATGCTTTTTTTTTTTTTACTTTTGTGCTTAGTGAAATGTTTGAAAACCAATATGTATATGTATTTAATACATGTAAAATGTATAAACCAAACGATCTCTAAACCATGTTTTGACTGTCCCCCGTCGACAGTACACTTTCATAAACCCATATGCCTAGAAACAAATATATTTTGTATGCGAAGATTTAGTTGTGATCTACCGCCCCCTATTGACCGCATGAGAACATTATACCTCCATAAGACACGATTCTGATCATGAACCGATTTTATTTAAACACCAAGGAATAACTGAAGACATTTACAAATATCACTACGTTCATATTGATAATGGTAACAAATCTGTGACAATTATCGTACATATTTAATACCCTAAAACCTTGCCCATTCACAGTTATTCTCCGTCATGTGATGCAGTTACAACACAAGTACAAATCAATGGAGAACTCAAGAGCAAAAGGTCACATACCCTAAACTGAAAAACAAGCACAATAAATATAAATGAGAAGACAGCAGTGTATGATCTATACAGAGGACTGATACAGTCGACTGAAACGGCCTCTCTCAGAGAGGAACTATAGCAAAAAGCAAGAGAATCCATCTATTATTTTTTGTTCTTCCTGACCGAGTCAAAAAAAGGGTGTTTGATGGCTTCATCCAGGGTGAAACGCTTCGTGACATCATATTCAAGCATCCTCTCTAAGAGATCAAACAGCTGTACGTGGTCAGAGCTCCTGGAGCCAATGTATTGCTGCAAGAAAATTAAAAAGTCACTAGCAATTCAGAAGTAAAAGTAAAAACAAAAACCTCAACGGACCCAAAACCAACTTGAGTTGTAAAACAACAAGAATGAAAAACTTACTCTCAGTGGCTTGCACTGCTTCCTAACATAACGTCCCGAGGAGCTGTGAACGTCCCAGTCCAGCTTATCATGGCAAACATATCTCTTCTTCCTGCATAATGAGAAAAAAAAAGCAATTTTGATTCTGTATATATACAATAGCAGAATGTGGAATCAAAGCTAATAAAAGAAAGTTCAAACAATAAAAATCTGCCAAATTCTGCAAAAAAGATCAAACTAAGAGATAAGAAACCACTTTTCAGGGACTTCAAACAAAGTTTGCCTCCTTTTGCTATTTTTTATGACTTTTCAAGCATCTGTGGTTACTGGATAAGGACTTTACACTAATTTCACTCATTTTCTAGCTAAGGAAGTATTACAGTTTACTATATTATAGAGCATAACTACATAATTTTTCCATTTCCACGACTTTTCCAGGGCTAAATTACAGTTATAAAATTAAAAACACAAAAACATCAATTACATTTTTAATACAAACATTGAAATTACCTTGTTTTCTGCAGCATGTGTGTCGGTATAGGGCCCAGCACTCGCTCCATCATGGCCAGATGCTCTTTGCTATCATGCGTCTATAATTTTAAAAACCACAAACTACTAAATAAGTGCTGAATCAACAAGTCATGTGAACCTAAAGTTAACAAATTATCTAATTTGAACTCAGAAGATAATTACCTGAAATAGAGTCGATCCCAGATAATACTCAATAAGAATGCAACCCACACTCCACACATCACAGGAATGACTCCAGCCTAGATCTGTTAGAAACAGACAGATATCTCTGTTATAGCTCACAACACATGCAATCATAGCAAGTGTGCGGTCAATGTACCTCAGAATGTATAAATAAAAACAATATATCCATAACTGCTTACCCAGAATAACCTCTGGAGCTCGGTAATGTCGTGTGGACACCACCGAGGTGTGATGCTCATGCTCATATGTTGCATTCCCAAAATCAACTACTTTCACATCAGGATTCTTCAAAGTTCTCTCATCCCTCTTCTACAATTTCAAACAACACTATTAATTGATTGCACAATACATGGTAACAGAGCATGTCTGAATCAGTGCTGTTTTTGTTAAACTATTGAAAATATCTATATAAATAGAAATATTTAATGAAAATTTTAAACAAATTTAGAAAGGTTCCACTGGCAACTAAATTAAATAGATTTAAATCGAATTACCACAATTACTAAAACTGAAAAATATTTTCTATATTTTTAGTAATAGAAATATTTTTCAGCAACAATAGAAATGTTTAATTCTATAAAACCTAATGAACTGACAAAAGCACATACAATTTTTAAATATTAAATATAATCATTTATAGTACATAAACAATACTAAAATAGCACCGGTCTGAATGGAGTCAATGTCTCTCCTTACCATTTTTGGATTGTACTTGATGTCATACTCTGAATTAATAAAGAGGATGTTCTCTGGTTTCAGGTCAGTGTGTGTCAGCTTATTCTTGTGAAGAACTAAGACACAAAGAAGCAAAGAAATGCAAAAGAATAAATCTATGTTTTGTCCAAAATACACACAGAAAAAAATTCATTCAAACAAGATCCATGACTCACATCTGACTGCTCTGATGATCTGGTAGGCCATGTGCCTGATGTGGTTGACAGAGAAGGGCTGAAAGCTATTTTCCTTCAGAAAATCATACGTGCTCAAGCCCAGCAGCTCAAAGGCGATGCAGATGTGCCCATGGTGATCAAACCAGTCATACATCCGCACACAAGCACTGAAGAAAGGAAAAATAGTTATGAAATACTGCATTGCTAATTTGTAGTCTGGACTTCTATACAGCCAGGAGGCTGTAAATTTCAAATTAAGTGTGATATATTACACAGCCATGCATCACAGAGGCATAAATTACATAAGATTTCATTCTCATCTGCTTTCACAGGCACTTACTATCGTCTGTCACAGTCAAGTGAGTTAATCTGCTCCAGCACCTCAACCTCAGACAGAGCTGCATCACGATAGTGCTCAATGTTTTTAATGATCTTCAGCGCAATGCGAGCTCCTCCCCTGCAATAGCAACATACAGTAATTTCATTAACACACATGAAAACACAAATGCCTACACTTATTATTGGACACTTAATCAACCAAAGCATTTCTCGAAAAACACTTAACATTTAAAGCTGACATGAAATAAATTCTATTTTCTAAACACATTATTGATCTTGAAGGGCTAGTTAACCCAAAATGAACATTTGCTGAAAATGTGCTCACCCTCAGGCAATCCAAAATTTAAAGGAGTTTGATTCTTCATCAGAACAGATTTACAGAAATTTTGCATTCACTTGCTTACCAGTGGATTTTTTTGCAGTGAATGGGTGCCGTCAGAATGAGAGTCCAAACAACTGATAAAAACATCACAATCCACATGAATGCAGTCCATCAGTTAAGGCATTTTAACTTTAAACCACTGCTTCTGGCCAAAATAGTCCCAGAGACCATGGAGTTGTGTGAATTATTGTGATGTTTTTATCAGCTGTTTGGACTCTCATTCTGACGGCACCCATTCACAACAAAAGATGCACTGGTGAGCAAGTGATGTAATGCTAAATTTTGGCACATCTGTTCAGATGAAGAAACAAACTCATCTACATCTTGGGTGTCCTAAGGGTGAGTACATTTTCAGAAATGTTTCATTACTATCTCTTTAAATTGAACAATTAACCTGAGCACATTTTGTTTTTACATTTCTTTTGTCCCTGTAACTCAATCTTCTGGTGAAACGGCATATATATTTCAATAATCAGTTTCATTTTACACCACAATACAGAAGAAAAGATCTGTTGCTATTTCCATTTCACTGCAACCTTTGATTATAATCAATATGGGGTCTTCGAGAGCAATACATTTTAAGATGCTAAAACGTGGCATGAAGACTTACTTTTCATGATCAATGCACTCCACCACTTTACCAAAGGCTCCCTCTCCAAGTGTGCACACAATCTCATCTACGGGTTTAAAGAAAGACAGTTAGAAACATGGAATGGACACAATGGTCCATCAAACCCTCTCAAAAAATTTCGCTGCGTTTTGGAACACTCAAATTAGAAAAGCAACGCATAAATAATCCACGAACATAAGACAATACTAGACTGGTGATACACACATCAGGATAAGTCTAAGTGTTCTGTCACAACTGCTTTTATCAGGACCCCAAAATTAGCATGTAAAATTAGTCTGACCCCAAAACAGAAAATAAGCAGTGAAAGAAATGAAAATATACAGAAGAGAGACAGAAAAGTGTGTATTCTATACATCTTGCTCTCAGCATGTCTCCACTGTGATAGATCAGGTGCCCCTCCTCATCATCCTCAATACTCCTGGATCTTTTCCTGCGATGGCTCCTCTGGAGTTTCAGACCACCGCCATCATCATCATCATCATCATCATCATCATCACCACCATCATCATTAACCCATGAGAATCGTGGGGGACCAGAACGCGCCATTCATTCATTCACGAGTAGGGGGGAAGTGAATCGGCCCATTCAGATACCCGCAGCAGCCAGGCCCGGCCACAGGGAGCAGCCAACGCAAATTCAGCCCGCGAGATACACACAGGGCCCACCACATCGTGTGTGTTACAGAAGAAAAACAATGGCAACATATTTTCAGATGAGATACTTTCTCAAACCATTAAGTAGACAATTATAACAATTCATCATTGAAAAACATTCTAGATTTTTATCCCCCCTTCATGAATGAGCTGCTTTAAAACATTTTATGTGCTGTGGATATCAAACTAAAGTTATGTCTTGAGTAAGAACCCTCTTATTACGTCATAATATTAGCATCTTCCTGTCATTCATTCAGACAATACTGGAAATGAGGAACTCTCACGGTGCATATAACAAGAAAGAAGGCACAGAAAGCACACAGTTGCCATGGCAATGGGAGACAGACAGTGGTCATACCGAGTCAGAGTGATGGTGCCGGTGCCGGTGCCGGTGCCTGTGCCGGCTGCTCCGCCTGCTGTTGCAGGAGGATTTGCTGTAATGGTGCCAGTCTCGGTCTCTCTCACGACATCTGGATCCATCCCGG